CACACACACACACACACACACACACACACACACACACAATACTCCGTATAACTCTATATAAAAACCACAAACCTTTGCAATGTTTTGCTCTGCAACTGATGATCAACTATAAAAATGACAAATTTTACCTTTTCCTAACAAGAAAAACCAATAGAGATCGAAAATATTCAATATACTGTCATGACCTTGCAATTAAAGAATATTGTTATAATGGAAGTCAATGAGGCAAAATCAGCCACAAACATAACAAAAGAGTAATACATTTGCCCAGAGTGTATTGTTGAGGTTTTTAAAAATTTAAAAGCATTTTCCCAAAATATTAGTAAAAATAACATGTCACCAAAAATCATTTCATGAGCTCAAACAAAGAAATCTGTCGCAAAATTAATATCCTCAACAGCACACAAGTAGGGATGCACCGAATATTCGGCAACCGAAATTATTCGGCCGAAAATGGCCAAAAAAAGCACTTTCGGTATTCGGCCGAATAAGTAAAAAGGCCGAATAAATTTTGCCGAACAATGACGTCTTTAATGACGCGATCAAATAGTAACCCGCGTAGAGTGAGAGGCGCGCGCTTTATGCAGCAAACATGTCGGCAGTGTGGAAGCACTTTAAAGTGTCAGAGAAAGAGGCAAAAACGGCCGTTTGCAGACACTGTTCTGCTGAATTGTCTAGAGGGGGTGCATCTGCAAAAACGTACAGCACTTCAAGTTTAATTTATCACTTAAAATCAAAACACCCCGAACATCATGCAGAGTACGAGAAAGACACGGCGGCGGCAACGGCAAAAGCAGCAGCAGCGAAAAGAAAAGCAGCTCCTCTCAGTCCTACACCCACTCCATCTGTGGCTGACTTCTTAGAAAAGGCAAAAAAGTTTGCCAAAGACAGTGCCAAAGCTAAAGGTATTACTAAAAGGATAATGGAATTCATCGCATTGGATGATCAACCATTCTCTGTTGTAGAGGATATTGGATTTCGCAGGCTTATAGACCATATTGAGCCCCGTTACACGATGCCTAGTAGACGGCATTTTTCAGACGTGTGCTTACCCGAGATGTATAACGTCGTTTCAACTCACGTCCATGAGCTCTTGGCTACAGATATTGCAGCCCTCAGCTTCACGACTGATATTTGGAGCTCGGATGTGAGCCCCACCAGTATGCTGAGTTTAACTGCGCAGTGGATCGACACAGATTTCAAGCTACAAAAGATTGTGCTTCACTCACAAGAGTTTAGAGGGTCCCATACAGCTTTAGCCATATCCGAGGCGTTCGCCAAAATGTTTGACACTTGGCGTATCGACCGATCTAAAGTGCATGCGGTAGTCAGTGACAACGCAAGAAATATGGCTAAAGCCATGGAAGATAGTGATCTGAGAGGCATACGGTGTATGGCACACACAATTCAACTGGCGGTCAACGAGGGATTGTTGAGTCAGCGCAGTATAGCAGATGTGATAGCGATAGGCAGGAAAATTGTTGGCCATTTTAAACATTCGCCGCTTGCCTATTCGCGCCTACAATCTATCCAAGAACAGTTCGGAACGCCACAAAAACGGTTCCAACAAGATGTGAGCACAAGGTGGAACAGTACATATTATATGCTGGAAAGCCTTTTTGCGCAAAAACGAGTCTTGGCTACATATATAGCAGATCATGACCTGCCCGCGACATTCAACGCATACCAGTGGGTGTTAATCGAGAACATTCTCTCTCTTCTTGCCCCCTTTGAGCAGATAACAAAAGAGATAAGCTCATCGGATGCATCTGTGGCAGACGTCATACCTTTACTTGCAGCAATAAAGCGTCTTTTAAACAAAGAGGCTGAAACAGACCACGGAGTGAAAACAGCTAAAAATGCGCTCTTAGAAGCTGTCAGCGCACGATTTAGTCAGGCGGACTCAGAACCCCTGTACTGCATCGCGACTGTGCTTGATCCAAGGTATAAAGATCATTACATGGATGTGGGGAAAAAGCAGCGCACACGAGAAATGATCCAGGCCGAGTTGGACTTGGGAAAGCCGCTAGGTGATGGAGACGGTCAGGTGATGCACAGCGCAGGAGATGAAAACAGCGCTGAGAGTAAACGGGCTCGTACTACAGATGAGCCGCGCACAGTCTCGCTGTCTGACATGTTCGATGAGATTCTCCAAGAAAATAATCCATTTGCAAGACAGAGGACAAGCTCAACCGCTCAACAGTTAGATGGTTATCTCTCAGAAGTCCCTATCCCCAGAAGCAATAACCCTCTCGAATTTTGGAGGACCAATCAAGGCCGCTTTCCCGACCTGGCGCAGATGGCACGCAGGTATAGGCTACTTCTATGGGAAATTAATTTAAGATTTTATTTATATTTTGGATTATGGTAACACTTTATATTTTAAACATTAACTAAAAATGAAAAACCCTTATTAAAATCATTTATTAATCTTAATGTTAACATTTACTTATACAGTATTAAAATTAAGTCTCACATTTTTAATTTTTGAATTAAAAAGTATCAAAACTGGTAGGCCTATTAAAATTGTTAATGCATTTAAACTAACATGAACTAAATATTTTTTATTATCTTAAATTAACGAAGATTAATAAATACAATAACAAATGTATTGCTCATTGTTGGTTAATGCAATAATGTTAACAAAAGAAAACATATTAAAGTGTAACTACCTATATTTTATATTATGTATTTTGTGAAAATTTAACTATTTTTAGTGTAGTAAAATAGTAGGCCTATACTGGATTTCAACCATTTCATTATCTTGAAGACATTGTTCGTTTTGAAATGAGCAACTTTCAGAAAACTGCAATAAAAATTTGAACTATTCTGCAGGTACTTGTCTGCTCCATGCACAAGCACCGACAGCGAGAGACTGTTTAGTGCTGCATCTCATGTCATCGATGAGAAGAGGAACCGACTTTCATGTGAGAAAGCAGAGAAGCTACTTTTCATAAAGAAGATCCTGCCACATTTCCTAAAGAAGGACACTAAGTAGGCTTATGTCTAGGACAGTTATTCATTTGTTGTGGGTTCACCCACATTTTTTGCACTGTTCAATGCACATTTGTTGTTGTAGACATACAGTTAAATTTTTCAGCAGTCAGTTATAGGCCTAACATAGACTATTCAAGAAGGGGGGCTTCAAAGATGGCCAAATAAAAATATTTTTTTTATTTTACTAATTTATTTATTTTAAGTTATATTGTGCTTTGTTTGTATATTATATGCTGGAATGTTAAAAAAATGTTCATTGTTAAATAAATGTTTTGAAATTGTATTTTTGTTATTTGATTTATTTCTCTGAAAAGCAACACAAAATAGTAAAAAGCAAATTTTTACTATTTAATTATTGTAATGGTGAAAAAATTGGCAAACTAAATGTAAAAAAATGCGAAACACCGTGTTCGGTATTCGGCCTTCGGCCAAGCATTTCATTATTATTCGGCTTCGGCTTCGGCCAAGAATTTCATTTCGGTGCATCCCTACACACAAGGCTTAAGAATAATTATGCACAAGTAAAATAAACATCAGCGAATGAAATTCAGTAGAAATGTCACACCTTGATGCAAAATTTAAGACTTTTTATGACCTTAAATTGTAAACATCTAATTTAATACTTAAGACTTTTCAAAGACCCACAGGACCTCTGCAAATAATAAAAAAAAAGTACAATAATAAAACAAATTTAATTGGACAAATTAATAGACATGTATATTTATTTAATTAGTATTTTTACGTGTCATTAATTAAACCAAAATAATTCAAATATATTAAGTATATTTTAAATTTATAAGTAAATATACAAATTTAAAACTTGAATTCATACTTTAAAAAAACGTCATGTTTCATTATTAGATTAAACATTTTTGAAGAATTATTCAGCAATACATTTTTGATTGTTAGTACGGCCACCCATTGACCTAAAAATGTAATTCAAGTCAAGTTGCTTTTAAACAGTAATTTTAATCTTAACATAAACATAAATTTTCTCTTTTTTGGAAAAAAGTGGTTTACTTGTAATTCTGTGACTATTTGTTTGTAATTTAGAAATAATAATACTGTTTAGAAAGACTAAAACAGGGGTGTCCAAACTCCTTCTTGGAGGGCCAGTGTTCTGCCGATTTTAGCTCATCCTTGCAGGTGTGTTGAGGCAAGATAGTTTCTAGATCACCAGGTAAGAGCTTGATTAGCTAGCATAGGTGTGTCTAATTGGAATTGGAACTAAATTTTGCAGGACACAGGCCCTCCAGGACCAAGCTTGGACACCCCTGGGCTAAACAATGAATATCTCTGGGGTCAAACACAGATCTGAACCCAATGCTGAGAACTTCAAAGGATTAAGAAACATATGCAACTTTTAATCATTTAGTATTTTTAGGCATACTAATATTAGGCACATATATTGCGATTTTCAAAAAGTATTACATCGCTTTGTAAATGTTTATTATTACCATTTGTTGAGTCTCCCAATACTATTTGATATAGTCAAGCGATGTGATGTCACACTCAACAAGCTGATAGTTTTCTCACGGTTCAATAACAGTGTGTATTACCATTACAATGCAAGAGTTTGAGGCAAAAGATAATAGGTTGCTCTTACGCGTGTAGTGACCAATGGCATTTTTTTTAACTTCATGTACAAATATATGGAAATAGAAAGCATTTGAAAAAAGAAAAAAGCCATTGACATACAGTGAAAACACTATTTTCAAATTCTTTAAAATTATTAATTTTGTTTTTGAGATATTAAAATATTTTGTTCATTGTTCTATTCATACTTTTGCATTGAATTAGTATGCAACTTACTTGCACGAATCTAGCAAGTGTTTGTGCAGCGCAATGTGATTTGAATAGACCATAATGTATTCAACATTAGGTTCACCTATTAATTCAAATATGGCACTCAAAAAAGTTTGTTTGTCTCATTGGCCACTGTAACCCCACCCTCAGTTCTTTCTTATAGCCCAGGTGCAAGCACTAGTACTATGATGCACTCACCATGTATTCTTTCACCAGGCATGCCTCATCCTCACCAAGGTAAGTAAAGAGAGCTTAAAGAATAGACGCTCTTTTGACATGGACATCGGTTGTCTGTAAATAATACAAATTTGATTAGTTAAATACATAAATGACAAATTGGAAAACGTTAAGAAATGTATTAGATTAGATTAAACTTTATTGTCATTACACATGTACAAGTACAATGCAATGAAAATCAGTTTATAAAGTGCAGATATAGAAAAACTTTAGTGATATTTACAGATGGATGTACTATCAACATTATATACAGGTTGTATTAGCTATGAACAGAGATTTAAAATAAATTATTATATGTACAGGTTGCTATTAATAATCAGAAGTGTACAGATAGATAAACAATTACAAGTGTACAGTATATGTATAGTTCAAATGAATGAATCAGTCTAATGTAGTGCAATGAATGTGTAATTTTTAAATGTGCAAATGTTAAATAGTGCAATGATAATGAGGAGTACAAGTTATGAGGACAGTGGGGGTGTATTAGGAGGGCAAAATAATTAGTGGGGGATAGAGTTAAAAAAGGTACAGCTCTGAGGAAAGTGCTGTTCCTTAAGGCTGATTTATACTTCTGCGTCAAACGCACGCCAATGCTACGGCGCTGATGCATAGCCCGTCGCCGTGGCCGTCGGCGTCGCTGACGTGTACCTCTCAAAAAATGTAACTACACATCGAAACGACGCGTAGCGCAAGCTCTGTGATTGGTCGGCTTGGTAGTGGCCAAGTGGACAGATGATGTATCTCCTCCCTGTAGGCCGTCTCATCATTATTGCTGATTAGACCAATCACTGTGGTGTCATCTGCAAATTTGATGATGTTGGATCTATTCACAGGCCTACAGTTGATAGTAAAAAAGAAGTAGAGGAAGAGGCTCAGCACACAGCCCTGTGGTACACCAGGGTTAAGTGTGAAGATGGTGGAGCAGATGTGGCCTGATCTAACATTCTGAGGTCTTTTAGTCAGAAAGTACATAATCCAGTTGCAGAGAGACGTGTCGATATCCAGGTCTCTAAGTTTAATCATTAACTAATGCCGAGTTCAGACTGCATGATTTTGAAAGTAGTCGTTGCTGCTTTATTTTCACTGCAAGATGGATCGGCGACAGGGACTTGAACATTGCATGACTTTACAATAGGAAGAATCGCCGACAACTTCGTCTAAACTACGTCTCACAACCCAAAAACCATCTGTTTGACCAGGCTGTGGATTAATGCTAATATTGCAAATAATGTTAAATTTCTTACACAGACCAATCGTTTCACTTTACAGGACCTTCATCAGGAGCCATGGCTTTAGATTTGGACTTTATTCTTAAACTGAAAAACCCATCCTCATTCGCTGCCATTATTTGAATCACCATGTACCATAGATTCAGCTAAAAATCATCAGTAGTGTTATATTAACATTAAGTTAAATAAATAGTAATTTATTTTCTTCTCGGCTTAATCCCTTTATTAATCTGGGGTCGCCACAGCGAAATGAACCGCCAACTTATCCAGCATGTTTTACACAGCGGATGCCCTGCAAACCATCACTGGGAAACATCCATACACTTTCATTTACACACATACACTACGACAATTTAACTTACCCAATTCCCCTATACCGCATGTCTTTGGACTTGTGGGGGAAACCGGAGCACCCGGAGGAAACCCATGCGAACGCTGGGAGAACATGCAGACTCCACACAGAAATGCCAACAGATCCAGTCGAGAATCGAACTAGCGATCTTCTTGCTGTGAGGTGAGAGCACTTCCCACTGCGCCACCTGTTAAATAAATATATTTTTAAAAATAAAAAGAATTAATAACTGAAACCAGCTCAAATGTTATCGATTATTTATGTCATATGCCATGTCCGGAATAAAACACGTTACCGTAATGTACAACTGTTAGTCATTTGAGACTCCTTTATTACAGCACTCCCACAAGTTTCTCTCTTGCTTTCACAAATAAAATTATACATATTTAATGTATATCCATTATTAATAGCCTATCTAAGTTTTGCCCAGCTAGCGAAACCTGCAGGTAAAGGTAGCCTATAAGCATATTTTTTTCAGTGCATGCATTGACTGCATCGTCAAATACATAGAATATAAGTATGTTTGTGGCATGATAAGCATAGACATGAGCATTATTCAGAACATAGCCTATATATTTATTTTTAAAATGTTATATTTAGAAATTAAAACTATATTAAATTTCAACTTGCAGTAATAATCTAAACATTAAACTTTGCCTCGATGTTGTGCACTTATCCTTTAACACACCTAAATCTGACGATTGTCCCTTACATGTATATTACATTTATAATGATACTCAAATTTATTTAATCAACTGACTGTTTACTTGTGAATAGTTTGTTTAGTTACACTACATTTAAAGTGATTTCTTTTTTTGACTACCTTGTAATTTACCATGTTCAGCCAAGATAAAGACATGCAGAAGTATAAATCAGCCTTTACATCAAATGCACGTGTATGGTGCGGCGCAGCCTGCGCGCAGTCGAATAGCCCTTGCCGTGGCGCATCTCTCCAAAAATGTAACTACACATCGCAACAACACGTAGCGCACGCTCTATTAGTGGGCTTGGTAGCGCTTACGTGTGTGGGCGGGGTTGAGAGCCACGCCAACCCATTGGAGCGAGTGTTTACAAGTGTAGAGTCCCATGAAATAGCTCCAGGTGGAAACTGTTGCTTTGTGTTTACCTTATGATTAAAGTTGTTGCATGACTGCCGGCTCCCGCCTCAGAATGAGCGAGTTTTATCTTCTTGTTCATTAAGGTAGTGTTCAGAAAAAACAAAACCCAAGCGAAGAAACTCCATACAGAGAGAACATATAAACCTACTGCTTTTGTAAGTGTTATTGTAGAACAACACAAACAGCGCGCACAAGTATAAGTGCTCAGCTGCACGCAGGGCAGGCGCCGTAGGTCACGCCAATCACTCAACGCAGAAGTACAAACCAGGCTTAAGGCCGAATGTGCATTGTGCAATTTTGAGCCAAATTCTGATGCGACTCTTCTTTGAATCAAATTAAATTTCAACTTTGATATTTGCTGTGCTGTGTTGATGCAATGTACAGGAGGAAAAAAAAGGTGAATAACCTCTCTTGGTCGGCAGATAGTCGAATCATTTTATGGCAGGTCAAACATTTTGGTCGGCTCTCTTGAGAGAATCACGGAGTTGAATCAAAGTTGAACTCTGTGTTTGTGCTCTTACTGCACCCTAGTACTGTGAAAACTAGGGAAGCAACAATAACATTTAGTTATTCTTCACTTGTCACAAACCTGTTTGAGTTTCTTTGTTCTGATAAACACAACATAAGATCATTTGAAAAATGATGAAAACCGGTAACCATTGACTTCCATAATATGTTTTTCCTACTATGAATGTCAATGATTACTGGTTTCTAACACTCTTCAAAATATTTTGTCTTGTGTTCAACAGATAAAAGAAACTCAAAGGTTTGGAACCATGGAAACATGGTGAGTGAATAGTGAGTAAATTTCCTTTTTTGGGACTATTTAGATTTTTCAGAGCAACATATTCAGTTAAGAAACTATTTACTGTAATGTGTAGTAATAAATGTTTTGCAGTTACTTACCATAAAAATGTTGATGGAAAATTCCAACTGCAGTACTGGACAGAAAATGTGTTTAACCCCTGACCAAGGAACTCAGCAAAGGAAACTTGTTGTACAGTACCTCAAATGAAAGGAAGCACATGATTATCATTTAGGTTCAAAATTCAGCACAAGTTACAACATGACCAACTTCTTAATCAACATATTGTTTACCGATTAATTATATTAGGAAACATTAAGATAAATTACTTATTGAACAAATTGCTGAACGTGATTAATATGATTAAGATAATCGTCACTGCCTGATTGATACGATATAAAGTGGGTCTCAGACCAGTCAAAGCACTGCATTAAATTCCATTCTTCAACGCCATGTCTTAAAAATATGTCAATTTATTTTAACCACAATATTTTCCATGAAGTTTTAGCACTCGTCTGCATGTGTTTTACGTTTGAACAACTAAAGGATTGCTTCAGCTTATTTAAAGAATATTATTTTTGTTAAATTACATTATCGTTGATGTAAAAGGCACTTTATGAATATGGAAAAAGTCACATTAAGTTAACCTTGCGCTGGACGTTTATCGGTGGCTGATAAACACTTGCTGTGAATATAAGTTAGCCCATTAAGAGCATTATAACCCAAAGACATAATTACAGCATCTCACGTAAAAAAAAATAAAGAACTGTATAAATGGACGCCCTTTACGTTAAAAGTTAATGTTACGCCAGTATGGGCACACATTCGACAACCTCCTAAGACAGTCAGTAGTGCCCTAACGCCAGACCAAATCGTTCTATAACAAAATCAGTATGGTACTGTCCGTTCACAACTATCTAAACGCATGTTTAATGTTAACCATAGTAAAAGCCACGGTAAATTCACAAAGGACTGAGCTAACGTTAGCAACGAAGCTTTTTTCGTTTGGAATGGCGGATCACGGACACTGTCGTCACACCAAAGAAAATGCTTATTCTCTTGAAAATAGCCTACAAATAGCCTCAAGTCTACATGACTACATTCTTGCTAAAAAGAATCTTTAATATATTCTGCGACATAAAAGCGAGATTTGTCAAACCGTGTGTAACGTTAACTGTTAGCTTAACTTGCGAGCGCGCTCGACGGCTGGTCGCCGTGAAATTTAAAAACGACCAAAATAGACAGTCCGAACGAGAGACCATTTTATGCGTCTATGTTACCCACAAAGTTTTTTATGTAATAAACAGTCTGGTACAATATAAAATGTGACTTACTGTGCAAATGGATGTACAAAACTCCGGCTCTGGCGTCTTGCTTCAATCTGACTGGATTCTGTAAAACTTCCTTTGGGCTTTGGCGCCGAGGCAACGGAACATAATGCGCATGCGCACAAAGCTAACATAATTTTTTCTAATAGACTTTAATTAATTAATTTAGATTGGTTTAAAACACATCTAATTCACTTAAAACCGATTAAAAATAATTTAATAAAATCAACAACTAAATTAAATTGTTTAAAATAAACTAAATTGAATTATGTTTAATTTAATAGAGGGCTAAATCATTTTTTTCAGTGTAGACTTTCCGCCTATATCGTTAAAATAGTGCCCCTAGTCTGCAGTTTCTGACATGAGCTTGTTTTACACTGGTAAAGTATAATGAGTGGAGCAGTGGGTGGAGTTTATTCACACTGCTGGGAGTGAAAGAGTTCAGTCAAACACTGTTTCTGCATCACTGACTCTATGAAGACAACATGTTTCTCTTCACCTGCATTATAATACAGCTTTACATGGGTAAGTTATTTATTTAATAAGTTTATTATGAGTGACTGAAAAAATGATGAATGAATACCTGAATAATATATATTTGTAGCTTTGAAAAAATCTGTTTGTATTGTTTGATTAAAACAGAATACTTTTATCTTTAACAGGAAATTCTTTTGGGGATGAAATTCAATCCCTGGTTAAACACGAACATGGTTCTGAGAATGAAAATGTGACTTTCTCCTGTAAATACCGTCTAACTAGTGGGACTAATGTCAATTTCCAGAGGTATCGCCAGTATTCCGGAGCAAAACCAGAGTATTTACTTTCTGTCACTGAATATTCAAACAGCTCTGAGTCTGATCTTCGTCTGTTTTCAAACGCTGTAAAAGCACTGAAGCGTGTGGATCTGCTGCTCTCCTCTGCTGCAGTATCAGACTCTGCTGTGTATTACTGTGCTCTGCAGCCCACAGTCACAGGAAACACACAAACACTGAACACAAACCTTTCCCTATTTATGAAATAAAGAACTGCAATACTCAGTTTAAGCAATGGCTACACCCTGAACAGTTGATTTGTAGTAATTTCACAGAGAGTCAATGTGCTGCACACAGTTATCCAGTGAAGATTGTGGTCATTTTAAAGAGTAAAATACAATACTAAAGAAAAAAAAAAAAATTATTTGTGGAAGTGATTGCAAATATTGCAATCAATATTTGGCATGCTGCCATAAATAAATTAAATTATGTGTAAAAGAAGAATGAATCAAAAAGCCATGCAATGTCTGTATATCTATGTATATGTATGTGTAATTGGCAAATTTAATCCTCCAGTTTTTATTATTATAATTTATTATTTTTCAAATATTATGTGAATTTGAATTTGAAATGTGAATGTTAACTGAGCAATGGGAATTTTCCATGCTATTTCCTATTATATAATTTCATTTTTGACTTAATTTGATTTCCTTTAGTTTGGCTAGAATTAAAACATTTAACATTAATTAATTGCCAGATTAAGTTAACTTGCCAAGATAAACCTAATTAAAAAAGCAAAGCCTTTAAACAAGAATCTAAACAAAAGTTAAACAAGAATTGGGAAATATTTAAAAAATAATTACAGTTTTACAGGAGGGCTAATTCATTTGGTCTTGTACAAATGGTCAAGCTTTTTAGAAGCAGAATGGGGAAAAAATTGTTTTGAGTGACTGGTATGGAGGTTGGTTTCATACAGCTTGTCTGAGTATTTTAGTAACCTTATTCAGGGTTTAAGAGAGCAAAAAAAAAAGCCTTTCAGTAAGCGGAATTTGAAATATCAGCTAAAAT